CCTCAAACTCTTGGGCTTAAGAGATTCTCTTGCCTCAGCCTCCCAAGTAGCTGGGACTACAGGTACCTGCCACAATGCCTGGCTGTTTCTTGATCATAGTTGTCACTGTTGTTTGGCAGGCCCCGTGTATGTGGCTGGTGCCCTAGCTGCTGAGCTACAGGTGCCGAGCCTCTTGTCTGAATTCTTTGTCTCCCTTACATCCTTATAAGTAATCCATCCATCATTGGTTCTGTTATTTATTTATTTAGATATTTACTTATTTTTCTTGTGCTTTCCACATGACAGAATATCCCTTCCAATGCCACTATCATATTCAGGCTTGTGACCTTGATTCCATGTCCTCGCAGCAGTCCCCAGAGGTCTCCCCTTCAATTCATTTTGAGTGCTTCCCTTAAACTGACCTTTCAAAAACTATCCACATCCTCATGCCCAGTTCTGTGACTATCTGGTAATTTCTAAGAAACAGTGTTTTACATCACAGTTTAAAAGTCTTAGCCTAATGATGTTGAGACCTGTCACAATAATCCCTTTTTCTCAAATGTTATTTTTAAATATTCATTTTCCATGACTCTCCATTAAGAAAAAATGTCATTGACTGTCATCTAATCCAACTGTCTCTCTGATCCCGAAAATTATACTTCATTCAAGTTTACTGAAAGATTTCTATCATCTGGGTTTATACTTTCTTACAAATTTTCTCTTTTAATATATTTCTCTCATTTATAGCAATTGGAGTTAGAAATAGAACTAAAATATTTCCTTTTCTTAGTCAGTCCTCTTTATTTTATGTCAGGATTTAGCACTTTCTTCTTATTCCAAACTCTCAGCTCAATTTTTATCTACATGAACCTTTGGAATTACCAACATATTGCATTGGGGCTGTTTCTTCAAATCTGGCATAAACTTCTACCAGGACGTGGTATTTCTCTCCAGAGAAGCATTTTATATAAGCGAGACTATATATATAGTCAGTCAACATCATTTACAAATTCCCTATTTGCTAATTTTCCTACTTGCTAAAATTTATTTGTAGCCCCCAAACCAATATTCATAGCACGTTCCCAGTCATTCATGGTCATGCTAAGAACTGTGAAGGGTGTGAATCTCAGAGGTCTCGGGCTGAAATAGAACAAGGTGACACTTTCCCTTTGTTTCCAGTTTCATGCCATAAACAAGTATCCTTTCCATGATGTATTCAGTGTCACCTTTTTACATTTTTGTGCTTTGTTGGAGATTTTGCTGTTTATTTTTTAATGGCAAGAGCCTTTTTAAAATTTATTTCTTTTGGCTCAGCACCCATAGCACAGTGGTTATGGTGCTAGCCACACACATCGAGGCTGGTGGGTTTGAACCCGGCCTGGACCAGCTAAACAACTGCAACAAAAAATAGTTGGGTACTGTGATGGATACCTGTAGTCCTAGCTATTTGGGAGGCTGAGGCAAGAGAATCACTTAAGCCCAAGAGGTGGGGGTTGATGTAAGCTGTGACACCACAGCACTCTACTAAGGGCAACATAGTGAGACTGTCTCAAAAGAAAAAATTATTTATTATTATTATTTTTTATAGTTGGGGAATGATTGAGGGTACAAAGAGCCAGATTACATTGCTTACATTTGATGGGGAAAGTCCCTGTAATAATAGTGTCCTACCCCCAAGAGGTGTGTCACACACTGTGACCCCACCACCGTCCTCCCTCCTTCCCTCTCTCCACTCCCTCATTCTCCCACCCCACCATGTACTAGTATCAGTCATCTTCATATCAGAATTGAGTAAACTGTACTCTTGCTTCTCCATTCTTGTGATGCTTTATTAAGAAGAATGTATTTCAGCTCCATCCATATTAATACAAAGGATGTAAAGTCAAGCCACCATCCTTTTTAGTGGCTTAATAGTATTCAAACTAGATTC